AAGTCTAACAAAATTGCAATTTCTGAGTTTGATTTCCCAGAATTAAAAAATTTAATTATCAGTAACCGAATTTTCTCACTAATAACCTTTCCTCTACCCATTTTGAAAGCCTTAACTACCCAAAACTGCTTTAAACGTATTCTGACAGCTGCGATTAATAAAAACAATTGTCATGGCTTTTATTTTTCACAGTCACCTATGCGTTAAGGACTTATTTTGCATTGAAATGAAAATAGGTTGATATGCTGTAATTGCAACATGTGTTATTTTTATGCTGCAAATTTGATTAGGGAGTGATAAAGTTGGTGTTTTCTACTATATATTATCAAAATATTCATTGTTAATAATTTAAACCTATAACACCCTGCTACATTTTTATTATTTGTGTTTGATAAGAAAAAGACTAAGATTTCAATAGTTGGGCCAACTGAAGTGGGAAAGGGCTCGTACTTACCTAAATCCTTAACTCGCTGTATCTTTCAACAAAACTTCCTGAATTTTTACCCAAGCCAAGAAAATATTCCAAAACACTGTTTTATTTCTAAATGTGGTTGAATTTCAGTGTGTTTTTTTTGTGTTGACTTTAACACACTAGAGAGTAATTCAAGAATATGAATTAATTTATTATTAGTTAGATCTAGTTCCCAAGACCTTTTAGGAATCTCTCTGAAGTGGTTAATAAACAGACTATCAAGTGCCCTCTCATGCCCCTTCACTTTGAGAAAACCAAGCCTTCCGAGTGCATCTAGTAAAAACAAAGTGTGTTCGTGAGAAGGAATTAGATTTAGGCCAAGAAATAAATTAGGCCGTTACCAGCAGCTTAGCCGGATTACGTTGCACCTAATAGTCCAGACAAAAAGTCAGTAATAAATAATTTTAATAACAATACGTGGTGCTCTACCTCTTAGTCCAAAATATTTTGTAGGTAGTTGAATTTGCAGTGTATATGAAGAAATCCTGATGATATCGGTGTGCCAGTTTTCTAAAGCTTAGGCATCTTTAATATCTTTGGAAAAATGATTTTGATCTATTTTTAATTTGGAATCAGATGAAAACAACTACGATGGCAAAGCATATCGGCATATCGCTGCTGTTACTGAGATTCTGTGGTAACAAAGGCATATAAAGACGGAACGACAAGCAGTTAATTCCTCGGTAGTCATTACTTGGAGTATTGTGATGCCGAAACTACGAAAAGTTCACTTAATAAGGGTGCTTAAGCTTCATCGATTGTACTATAAACTCAGTTAAGAGCTTCATACATCAAGCACAGAGCCGCCGTTCGTAAGTCTAGCCATGCATATGCTAGCTGACAAAGCTAAATTTGGACGTAGCAAATAGGAACTTTTTATTTATCGCTGCAGCAGATGGCAGCAATTAAAAAGGAACGGGAAGGCAGGTCTAATCCAGAGTTCGTGGATAATGTCGTAGGGATTAGGTGAAAATATTCTAAGGCAAAAACGGCTTACGAGCATCTTCCTGTGATCAAGTTACTACCGAATTGGTTCTGAATCAGTTGGAGAGAAAATTATCTCTTGGATAAAGATTATATAAGCGTCAAAGTTTCGAAGCAGTTAGTATCCGGAGTACCTACTCGCTTCAACACTTAAGTTCCACCTGTCCGTCCAAATTGGAACCCATTTATCACACAGCTCTACTCTTGCTAGAGGTCAGGAGCATTAATAGTGCGTGCTGATAAACTGGAATTACCATAAAGCCATATTATGCAAAATATCTACGTATCAAGCCAACTGAAAAATTTTGCTTAAGGCAAAGGAAATATTAGATAGAGTGTAACCGCATCCTAAGTCCAGGCTTAAGCTACTTTAGGAATCATGAAGCAGGCCGTATAGCGATCCTATTTGTCTACCATCACCATACTTTGAACCACTTTCCTGAATAGCCCATAATTTCATACACCATTGATGAATACAGTCACCCAGCATTACCTCCAATCTTGCTGAACCTATTAGAATTGTTTTTACATTCAATTATCGTGTAGCATAATCAATGATTCCTGTCCATAATAACCATAATATGATCAAATAAAATTGTTTCTGGCCGCGTCTTCATTACCGCAGGCAAAATCGTATATTAAGCGAAAGGAATCTAGATGGCCATGCATATGCATACCGAAACAAATCAAAGCACGGCCCACTATGTTTCTGCGCCCGACCACGCATATTTTTGCTTCGACTGCTACTGTGGCGAAGATGCGAAGTGGCCCTGAGGCAAACGCTACTAGATTACGCGGAGAGGTAGAACGATTTCGTGATTACCTCATCATTACAGACCACCGAGTTGACATTTTTTTTCTGTTGATCAAATATTTGATCACAGCTATCAAATTCGTGCAATATTTCTTACATCTTCTATACATCTTCTATAACCTATATATATATGTATATATGGAACCCTCAGTATATTACATACATAAATCGAATTGAAAGTGTACAAAATAGATTCCTGAAGAGATTAAGTTTTAAAATTGGCAATCCGGTACGTGACGGAAACTATGATCATATTAGACAACATTTCAATATCATGACCTTAAAACGTAAAAGAATGATGTCCGACGTGTGTCTTATTTACAAAATCTTCAACAATTTTGACTGTCCCTATTTGCTTTCAAAAATAAATATTAATGTGCCAGATAGAAACTACCGCCATTCCAAGTTTTTCAGGATTCCCTTCTGTAGAACGAATTTAGAAGTCAACTCACCTGTAATTAGGGCCCAGAGGGTGTTTAACGAAACCTCTATAAATTTGGACATCTTTGTGGTTAATTTTAACAAGTTTAAAGTAACGGTAAGGAGGTAGCTTACATAGGATAGTGTCATACTATCTAATTGTTTGTCTGCTGTGATACTGTTGTCAATCATTAATATTTTTATATACTTTTATATAGTATTTTATATGTTTTGTTATCAAAACTGTCTAGTGACGTGCTCTGTGTTTGTGTTTTTTGGTGACTAGTGTGATTCACGGAATAGTGTAACTGATACATGCTAATTTTTAAAAAAATTAAATTTTAAATTTATATCGTTTTATAGTAGTTGCTATATCATAGTATTGTTTATTCTCATATAGTAGGCTTGTGTTACATCTTCTGGATTTTGTAATCTATGTATCTTTTTAATTTATCACTATAGTAAGCAGCGGGTGCTGTCTTTGGAATTCACATTCTGTTGCGCCCCAAACATGAGTAAATAAATAAATAAATAAATAACACTAATTTCGCAAGTACATTTTTTTAAAAATAGAACTGGACTGCAGTAACTAAAGGGAATGAAGATTTAATTATGCTATCAGATGAATCTAGAAATACCTTTTCACTCAAAATACAACAAATCATTTAATCTGTAACCCTTAGAACATTCAAAGTTAAAATTTTCGATTATTTCGTAAGTCTGATTTCATAAAATTTTAGTATATTCAGTGTCACCCGTACTACTAACACGAAGCCAACAACACCTTTTATATCAAGACCCATCAAACTATGTGGCCTATAGCTCGCGGAATTGACTTTTATATACATACCCACGCGCGATAAACTGCTTCTAAGGCAGTCGGGTAGAAATAATATCTAGTCCATTAGCTGAAAACATGTATTCTTCTTCGACTTTGATATCGATTCACACTGCTGCTTCCTAAAAAGTTATATATATATATATATATATATATATATATATATAACAAAAAATAGGAAAATAATGGGCAAAATCCGCAAAAAGGAGGAAAGTGGATTCGAGCAGAAAATAGGATAGGTAACCTGAGCGATACGTATTTCTGCTGGTTGGGTGCATCAGGCCCGAAATGAATGCACATATGCAACTACGAAAGTAGATACACATGCTCATACATCCGGATACGGGTGTAACCTGAGGAAACAAAGATGGAGAGGGAAAAAACACACACGAAGCCCACAACAAGAGCCAACCTACACATTGTAGTATAAAATAGCTAGAAGACCTCGAATTTTCAAGGCGACATCTAACCACAACCACGCGGCCGGTTATAACCTCTTGCTGTGGTACTTCAAGCCCAAAGTATCTACAAAGTCGTCACTGACACAGCGCCTCAGAAGAATATTCACATATTTTTTGCAATAATTGGATATTAAGAGTACGTACCAATTTAGCACTCTGCGATGCTTTTGTAACCTATACGCATTGATATACACGGACTGATAAACCGACATAAGTGAGGAACACCGACTTGTGATGCAGATATCTTCAGGCAACAGAAAACTTGTAAACTGAAGTTGGAATACTATCGCGGGCTTAATACTTCCTTCGATTAGGTAGTCATCTATTTTGAAAATTGATTCAGAGGCGGCGTAACTCCGGACAAAAAAGTAAAATCGCTGAAAGATAGTGTTACAACGTTTCAGAGATTCTCGCTCATTTTCAGGTATTGTTTAAGGTGACGAAAATTGTAGGTTGGAAGAGTTGCGTGCGGTAAATGGTTGTGAATTGTTGCATATTTGGTGTGAGTGAAAGAGCTTCTATTATTAAGAAGCTGCTGATCTCAGTGATAATTTGAATCTATTAGCCATAATAAGTAACTCATATTTTCCCTACATTTGCTATAGCTTGAAATGCTTAGATCAAAAATTCATCGTACCTAAGTGAACATCCGTAAGAGATAAAGGTCCAGAGCATCAAACTCAAGAACAGAGTGATTCTACAGACCCTATACTGTGCTATGAATATGGTCCTTATCTAGTTACTATTCCTCTAATGGAGACGAGGTTTTAAACGTTTCTGCCAGACGTAAATCCCTAGACTTATACAGCTAAGCACAGAACTTGTCCCCTACCTGCGGCGCTCAACTTGCGACTGGCGACTCAAAGGCCGAAGCGAAGCACCAAAGCCCGCGTCCGAATATACCCTTAGGCGCACCGGCGGCTACCGGCTTTACCCTGTGACATATCGAAACGCATCAAAGTGCATGTTTCTGGTGGGGGCGAAGCAGCACCATTGCACCGACGCGTCGACGGCGTCTCGAGCGTCGGTGGCATCGGCCGCGTCCTCGCGAAGGCGCTTCAGTACGTCGTAGACAGCCACGTCGATCAGTCCAGCCAACTCACCGGCCCGACCTCAGTCCGCTCGATCCGCGCTCTTGTTTGTTGTTGTTGTCGTTGCCCGGTGATACCGAAGTTGAATCGATAGTGTGAACTGTGGATTTTTGCAGTTATGTTCGGGCGGTTTTGAACTGGGATTTTCTTTCTGAACTAGACGACATGGAGAAGTATTTTGTGATTTTGTCCATGCTTTTGGTCCTTGGAGAAGGACTTGAGTTGAAAAATGGAGCGTATGAAGACCTCGTTATTAAGGTGTCTGATAATGTCCCGCAGGAAGATTGTACTAAGATACTGAAGAATCTTGAGGTGAGTTGTAGTATCTTAGAGACACCCTAAGACTTTTCTATATCCTCAATATTGTGATAGCAGCATATCTATCCTGATGAAGAAGGCGAAGTATTAAAGGTGCATGCACCGCAGCATTGCAAAACAAATCATATTGGAACACGTAGGTACTCTACCGGTGTAACTTGGATGTCAACCTAGACCGTTGCCGCTACTGAGATGTCTTGAAACTGGACAATACTCTTAGGCCCGTATCGTCAGTCGTCCCTACAATTGTAGGGCGCGTTTATGGCCTCTTTGATTGTCATACTCCTTTCTCTCCTTAAAGAATTTCTAGATTTCACTTGTCCCGTGTCAGCGTCAGCGCTCTCCTATTGTGAAGATATGTTTTCTTTTTAAATTGTAGGAAATTTCAGGCTGTTAATACATGATACAACTCAAAAGCAAGCACAATTTGATGCAAATGGATGTTTGTGACATAACCTCAAAATAGAACGCTGACACGGAGAAGTAGAAAACTATGACAATCAAGGAGGCCATAAAGGCGTAAGGCGCCTTACAATTTAGGGACGACTGACGATACGGGCCGTAGTTTAAGATAGGCCAATATGAACTGGCGCCCCTCACGAGATATTCCAATTAACGCAGCTCTTGAGGTATATCATCCTATGCCGCGGATAAGTTAGACCAAATCACACCTACGTAAGATTTAATTAAAGATATTTAAGAATGATAAAATCCCTTAAATTTTTTTTTTGTGCGAAATGAAGTGTATCAAAGATTTTCCTTAACCAAGTAAAGCAACTTCTTCAAGAACTGAAAATTAAAATTTTCTGCATATATGTTATAGACTTCATTTTATTATTTAGCTTGAATTGTTGAGCCTATATGCATGATCGTCATTATTGTATACGTGATCTTTGATAAAATTAGTGATATTCAAACAGTATGTCAGTGCTGCATTGATATTTTGTGGAGGTTGTTGTACTGAATCGAGTTTTGTTTACAAATAAGAATAACGGATCAAAGTCTAATGCCACAAATATTTTTAAATAAGCCGCATTTCCGTGGTATATCCACGTGAAGTCAGTTGTTGAAATGTATTGCTAATAACATTAAAACGAAGAACATCGTTTATAGTCTAGTTGATTTTACTCAACAAAAATGCTTATTATTTTAGAACATGACTAATTCTATCACTATTATTCGGATGACCTATGCGGGTCACTAGAAAAGAAAATCTGTCTACCTGCTATTTGAACTGTGCCCTGATTTCACTTGAAAGTAAATGCATTTATGTCACGATGAAAAATTTCATAATATACATTTTTATGCTCGCACTTGTTCATGTATTATGTTCATTATGTGCAACAAAAACCTGCTTGTAATCTGAGAACATAAAAAAATGAATGTTTTGTCTAGATTTTCACTTTCATTCATATCGCACAAGGTACCGGATGTCTCCAATATTTGTATTTCACAATTCTAGAAAGTATAAAAAACATAAAAGTAACTATAATTCATATAGCCTAGGGTCATTACTGTAGTGCATTATTGGCTTAGTACCTGAAAGTAGGTGTAGTAAAATGTATTGAAGTAATTTATTATTGGTGAAGATACCCACAGCATGTTTTCAATACAGGCTTCTATTGTGGCCATCTCAATGGGTTTTACCCATAGTTTATAACGTTTACTGCTTAACTCTAGGGTATCAGGAAAGCACACAAAATTACAGAGAGTCCTTAGGGTCATTACAGTTTATAGTACCTATAATTATCTAAAAAACTAAATGGGAACTATCACATATACCGGTGTTTCGATGCTGAAGGGAAAAGTTACAACGACTTAAACCACCTCCATTCTCATGCTGAGAGAAATAATTATTTCACATCACATTTATAAATGGAAATAAATATTGCATAAACAATTTGACGTTGCCGATCATAATGAAAGTATATATAACTGAGTTATTGAAAAATATCCTGTGGTTCTTTTGTAATGTACATACCGACCTACCATATACACAAATTCTTACGACTTTCACTGATATAAAAACGGACACTTTTATTTTTATATGTACGAAATGAATGAATCAATGTAGTGCTTTTACTTTCACATATACCACGAACCAGTCGAAAATTTCACTGTCGAATTGGATTTTTTCCTTTCAAATAGCTGCTAAAATCACGTTTTCATCAACCGTAAAAATAACAATTGAAAGTTTGTTACACACATGAGTCATGGTTGCGGTACTAATTTCAAAATAAACCTTATCAGAGCAATTTTATTGCACCCAACATGCACTGTAGTGATTTACTTGGAAAATTGTGATAAAAAATGAATGGCTGACCGTTTATTGCAAAGGTGGTTCTATGGTACATTATTTTTTATTGATATGATCGTATGGTTAATTATGCTACTTGCGAGCTAACATAGGGTGCTATGAATTAATGAATTAATCACAAACTAGGGCGAAAATGGAAAAGAAAATGCAAGTAGGAACACTTGGTTTTCAACACCTATGAACTCCTGGGTGGGCGGGGACTGGAGCTAGTTTTTACCGGAGAAAAGATGGTGTGCCCTTATCCGTAAAACTAATACGTGCATAGAATTATCAATATTGGGAGCGTATAAATGTACCAGCATCAAAAAATCCACCCCCTTACAGCCCCCACTCAATGGTGCGATTTTCAAAAACTACGAAGCTTGGCATAGCAGTAACATTGTGCTGTTGTAAGATTAGCGGACAGACCGACAGACAAACCAACATACAGATAGACAGACCGACGGAAATGAGTGACTTGGTTTTTCGTGATGTACATGTCATATAACATCCAAAAACATAATATCATTTTCGAAATTGCAATAATTACCCCCTGTAGGCGTAGAAAATAAAAAGGAACATATCAACTGGCTGTTTAGATTCTCGAGTACTTTTAACCATCTACTATTTTCACTTTCCTTTTTAATACGCAGTTTCAAGCTTCCTTGTTAATGACCGGCAGGTCACATTTCTAATTTTAATATTGCCGCCCTATTTACATTTACATGTGATTCGTAGTGATAATTTGGACACTGCCTTAATAATTTCGATATAGAAAATCGCGTTAAAATCATTGTAGCTACTCATAAGTATAATTAATTAAAATTAATTTGAAGGATCAAAATTCAGTTAGAACCGGGCCCCTGATCTCCCCTACTAGTCTGTATTACACACTGCTCTCAACTTTAATAGCAGAAAGAATGTTCTAATTACCGATCATTATAAACGAAATTGGTGTACAATACAAAGGGAACAAAGAAGTACCTGTCCATCACGCTATCAACACTAAAATCTCCACCATGCCAACTGAAGCAGATCAAAACCAACGCCGATAGAAGACCGATTCAGATAAATCATTACAACTGTTATTTTTTCATTCAATTCACTATGCTGTAATCAATTATGTTCGGTTAAACACTCGGGTTTTTATTCTGCGTAGTTGTTTGGAGAGAAAAAAGGAAGAACGTTTAGTACTTATTTAAGCGAGAATCATATTTTCATTGTCAAGTTTAGGTGACCAGATTTAAGCCTTACTTTCCTTTGACTATTTGTAATCTACTATTGTATTGTGATTCAATATTTATAGAAGATACATCCTACAATTACTAGGAAACAAGTATCAGTTCTACAAATATTTTAATACTGCAACACGGCCTTATTTTGGTGAAGGATTTCGACGCTGAATCCTCAAATCTTGTAAACATACGTATTTATACGATCTTTGAAGTTTCCCGCTATGGTTGAGTGTAATTCAGATACTGAGATGGAACGTCTATCAGCGATGTGCTTTTGACAATTGGAAAATTGGGGTAACTTTTAAGGAACGGTTCTGAGCATATTCTGTCTTCTGATGATTTTGAGAAAGTCGATTTTTTAAGCATACACGGCAAACAAGTTTTTTGACAGTGTCAACATCTCATTCGATTTTTTGCCTCCTTCAGTATACTTGGTGATGAAAGCAAATTTAAATCAATCGAAGCTTTGCGGCCCCAGAAACTGCATATTCACAAAAGCTCTGGAATATAAACATAGGAAATAATGCTCTATTGTAGTAATATTTTTGAATACCAAAATAAGTACTTTTTTGCGTGATCAATTCAAGTTAATTTCTGTCAGTAATGACAGAAAACGCGAACGAATAAAAATCATCAAGATCTAAGATAAACAGAAAAAAAATGTTCATTGCCAGGCTTAGAGGTATCGTGATGTTGTTAGCGTTAAATTTGATACACGTTACAGCTTTAGGTAATTGACTAATTTACATATGACGCAATTAACTATAAGGAAGCATCGCTGTAAAGAATTAAGTATTTGCAGTGCCATACTTCGATTGAATTTATAATTAAAAATGATTGAGGATTGGACAAACAATCTTGGGAATGGTGTTTATTATCGTTTAATTGAAAAATGTAATCGTTAATGCTGGCTATTGAAGTAATCTTATTAAGAATAATAATTTTTCATTACAAATATTCCTTTTTCCATTATTTTTGCTTCCTTGTCGAGTTGATATTAAGCAAATCCGCTGAAAAATAATACTTAAAAATAAGGAAGATATAAATAACAAGTTTTTCCAAATCCTTTCCTTAGGATGTGACCTCACTTTTACATGGACTTGAGGCTTCCATCAGATATGAGGAAAAAGCCTTTATTCTCTGACGTTGACAGTTTGAAATCAAATGTATGGTTATGTTCTAAGGGCAACCGGAATAGGAATCAAATCGTGTGTAAATTAAAAAAACACATAGAAAATTGCTTTAAACTCGGATATTTCTGGGGGTTCCAGACAACCAGGACATTCTCCTGCGAGATGCCATAGCTACAAACTCGAACATTTTCATTGAAATATAATTGTTACAGCACAGTCGAGTTTCTTCCACTAAAAGCGCGATTTAAGTTCAAAAATGTGACAAAAGAATAGGCTGTAACGACAATAACGTCTACATTCAAAACCTTAATTTTCCTAGTGTGTGTATGT